TCTGTCTGTCTGTCTGTCTGTCTGTCTGTCTGTCTGTCTGTCTGTCTGTCTGTCTATCTATCTATCTATCTATCTATCTATCTATCTATCTATCTCATCTTTATCAGCAGCAGCAGCCCTTCGCCGCCTATCAGTGCTTTTGGTGTGGAAAGCAGAGATGTGTCAGCCCTCCCCTGCCCTGCATTCTGATCAATTTCACAAGCAGCTTTTATAAATCAGCCCCACCTTACTTCCTTGTTGTCAATTTCAATGTCTACTACATTTTATACTGCTATAGAAAAATAAATGTGAACATGTGTTTGAGTTTCAAGAATGAGACTTCTAGGACTCATGTAGTTCTACTTCTACAGCTCTGATTCTTATTTGCAAGTTTGTTAATTCAGTCAGTATGACATTGGCTAGAGGGAAAGATTATGAATCGGAGTTCCCCATAAATGTAAATTTATAAATTAAATTTATAAATACATTCTCTTTTTTTTCCTCTCCTTTCTTTTCCGCCTTCCCTCAATTGACCTTCAATAAGGTTTCATTAAACTTTATTTCTGTTACCTTTTCCACTGATTCCTCTAATATTAATAACAAAGCCCTGATTGGTTTATTAATAAGTGTAGGTAGTAGCAGGGATGCACTGAGTAATGTTTGACTATCCCCATTTGGGGTTTATAGATTTTAATTTCATAACTATTATTTTAAATTTATCATTTAATTTTTCTCACTTTTCAAATTATATTTCAATATTGTTCAGATATAGTATGAACGGATATGGTATATATACCATTTTTCTTGCTCACTGTTCTTAATATTAATAATATATTACGTGAGAGTTCTTTGCAACATGGAATGTTAAAGGGTTGGTGATTGCAGTTAATTAGTTAGGTGATGTTACCTAGCTCGGTAATTAAATGTTTGCAAGAAAACAACTAAGCTCAGAGAACCCCAAGGACTCTACACTTAACTCTGTATTAGCCAAGTTGATTTTTTTTTTTTGGATGGAAAGTCGTATTATTCCTAAAGACAAGCAGCTTTCATCAACAGAAGACAGATTCACATGTACACTATTAATCTTATTTCACCTCTTCAACAGTCAAAGAGTCTATTCTATCAGTGGAGATTGTGGGTTCTCCGTCTCTGGATGCTTTCAAGAACAGGCTGGACAGCCAGCTCCCGAGGATGATTCAACTGGTTTGCCTGCACACTGCCATGGAATTGCACCGCATGATCTGTGTGGTCCCTTCCCAGTCAACAATTCTGTGATTCTGTGATTCTCTTATTACACTACAGTTACATCTATAAAATCGAGAAGAACTCCCGGCTGTGATAGTTTCCCAATAAAAGTAAATGTATTGGTTTACTGGAGGCAAATAGTTGAAGCTTTTGAAAATAAATCCCCTGTCTTGTAGTGTTAATGATGCAAATATCAAGGATTCTACTATGTGTTTGAATTCTAGACCTATTTCTTGTTAAATATAGATGCTAACATTTAACTGGTACTCTGGCCAGTAGATTACAGAGTTTCTTCCAATTACTGTATATCCAGTTCAGGCTGGTTTTCTACAGGGCCATCAAACACTTGATATCAGATTTTTAACAGATGCTCTTGTTTTATTTAAAATCAACAGGACTCAGCAGCCTTTAATAGGGCTTCTTAGAAATTTTGAGGTTTTTAAAAAATTTTGGATTGTTATTGAACCCCTAAATCACAGGTAATTATTAATACTGTGCCCTCTCCTTGATTAAATTATGTCGAAGTACACACCAAAGGTTCCCTCTTTTTCCTTCCCTTTTTAATTTTGGGTTAAAATCTCTTGCCTGCATAATTAATCTTGAAAATAATAATTGGATTACAGTAGAGAGGAGCAGAGGGTAAGATTTTACTCTATGGGGATAACATATTCTGTAGACATACCAGAAATCTCTATTCTTAATCTGTTTAAATAATACATGAATTTGAAATCTGTCAGATTACTCTATAGTTTGGAGTAAATTATATTTAATGTCACAGGTGACAGTAATACTCTAGAAAAGGAGAACAACTGGGACCTGGTGTTGTATCCCCTTTTTAAATGCAAATAAAAGATCTGTGCAGATAGTTTAGAAGTGTTCTGAGTGTATAGATCAATATAAATGTGATTCAGAAGAATTTAACTCTAAGTTTTCTGAGAGGTCTTGCTATGTGTATTCCACTCTCTAGTTTAAATGAATATACAGGACACTCAAAGATCAAATGTATTGTTATAATCCAAAATCAGTAATACTAGAAGAATCTCAACAGGGAAGATAAAATAAAATAAAATAAATATTAATAAGTAAAATTAATAAAATAGGAGCAGGCTAGAAAGTGTATCACATTTGCACTTTTTGCACAGTGTTGCTGGACACTGAATACTGAATGGGCAAAACCGATGGATTTAGTCAATGCCTTTTATGGGCGCTATAAAGGACCTGATGCTGACTTTCATTTAACAAAGCTGATCTACAGACTATCAGTATGGGAATGTGTGTTAATAGGCATGTTCTTTAATTTTCAAGATTTAAAAAGGGAAAAAGTTTGTGGTTTCTTCCAAGAGGAAAAAATGTTGAGTAGGGTTCCAGAGAGCTCACTCTGGACTCTAGTCTTTTCATTGTTTGTATTAATGACTTACAGGAGAAGGTGGGGAGAAAAACCTCTTAAATCTGCAAACAATTCAAAGCTACCTTGGAATATTAGAAAATTCAGAATAATTTTAATTGACTAGATAAATGGGCAGACCTTCTATGTAGAACGGTTAGCTATACATCAAATAAACAAACATTTAACAAAATAAAGCAATGATTTTCATTTATTAAAAAGAAATCAAATGCAAAACCTTAAGATGGGGTATTCTTTCCAATTGTACATAAGAAGGGGTCTTGGAACTGTACATATTTTCAAACTGAATGGGTCAGCAACCTGATGTAGCTGCAAAAATGGCAAATGCAATTTTGGATTACATCAAGAGATCTATAGGTTTCATCTAAAGGGGATAGTTTCACTTTACACCCTTTGAAACGTCCAGTTCTACCGCAGGTATTGTATTCTGGTATATTTTAAGAAGGCTTTAGATAAACTGGATTCACATTTGCTGATTTTCCATCTTGAAAAAGAAACTGGTGTAGGCCATTAATTTATAGTCAAGATTATTACAGAACTAAGAAGCATAAATAGATCTGCCATGTAACATGCTTAGTCTCCTAACAGGTATGTTCTTGTCAAACCACTGCCCCCTCCCCACCCATATACATTCCTTTGGAATACCATATAATGTTAAAGGCTCAGCCACTGTTCATTCTCACCTTGTTTTTTCATCTTTTTTAAAGTGGAAACATATTTGGCTTCCACATATAAAATTCAAGTCCATTGTACGGGCTACCCATTTTAAAATAGAAGTCATTATATTTAGGGCTATTAACTGAGAAGACGTGAAATCTGAGTTGTCTACGAGCGTTTGCTGCTCATGACATGATGTTGCAATAATGAAAGGATAGTGTTCTGAGAGCCTTGTCAAAAGCCTTTTCTGCTTTAACCACAGAAAAACTGCACTTGATCGGTACAGCCTTGAGAAAGCTGGCTTCACCCATGTCCTCAACGCAGCCCATGGACGATGGAATGTGGATACGGGGCCCAACTACTACAATGACATGGCCATTGAGTACTATGGAGTGGAGGCAGATGACCTCCCCACCTTCAATCTGAGCCAGTTCTTCTACTCTGCTGCAGAGTTCATCGATAAAGCACTCCAGAATGAGACCAGTAAGCCTACCTTTGCTTGCAAGGGACTGATACACAAGTTCTCCCTACACAGATATTTTATTACACCTCTGATCAGAGGAATCCGTTTTCACCTGCTGTGCCATCAGATTCTTGGAAAACTACCGCCATATAGCTCCCACCCATCTGGGATTCTCCTTCTTTTAAAAAGATACGTTCAGATATCAATCAGTCAGGGTAAGGACATTCAGAGAATCCCCACACCCAAAAATCTGGAGTCTGCTTGAACATCCCGAGAACAAAAGAGCAAGGCTTTCTGTTAAACAAGTGGCAAAGCTCTCACACATATCTAAACCCAACACTTGTTTTTTGAAAACTGCCCACTGTAGACACCTTCTGGGTGAAGAATCTGTAATAAGTACAATCTGTGTTGGACTGTACCACTCATTTTCACCTAGGTTCCACCTCCCAGGCCTCCGGTGGGACCAGGGCTTCTGCAGGGGATCAAAAAAGTCAGGATGGCCTGCAATGGGACTCTTTATATGTGAAGTTACAGTATTACGATCAGGAAGATAAGTCACATGTAGCACTATTTGTTCCCTTTTAAAGGTAAAGTCCCCTTCAGGTTGACCTTGACTCCTGGGTGACTTTTAGGTGATGGCCAATAAAATCCCTGCCATTGTTCTATTTGATTTTTATCAAACAGAAGTGTGTTCCTAGTTTATGACAGAACAAACCTTCAGTGCTAAGATTTGGAGGGCACTTTTCTCTATTCTGTCTATAGGAACAGCATGTGATTTCACTCACTCTGTCTCTCCATAAGCATGAGCTACATCTAGACCAGCGTTTATGCCACTGAAAGGTGGCTTGATTCTATGCCTGTTTGCCTGTTCACTTCACTGACATCAAGAGCACTTGTTCTTATGAATCTTAAAGCCCATAAGGAGCACTATATTGGACTCTTTAAAAAGGAAAAGAAAATCACCATTGGAATCCCAAGAGATTCAAGTTCCACATACCACCCATTGAGATCTGTAGCATGTCAGCACAAAGGCAAAGTCTCTGATGCCAAATCTGAGTGGTTTCTCTGTCTCTCTTTTTTTAATGTTTGCAGACAAAATCCTGGTCCACTGTGCCATGGGGCGCAGCCGCTCAGCAGCCTTGGTCTTAGCCTACCTGATGATTTACAAGCACATGACGGTGGTTGATGCTATAGGTCAGGTGCTCAAGCACAGATGCATCCTCCCGAACCGTGGGTTCCTGAAACAGCTCAGAGAACTGGATATAAAGCTGGCCTTGGAAAGGAAAAATGGCACCAACAGGATCAACGGTAGCAGAGAGAAGGAGGCCAGCACAGAGATTTAACATTCCCTATTTCTTCAAAAACAAGTAGCTACAAAATAATCAATGAGTGTGAAACAATTAGGTAAAAAGAGTCATTTGTTACCAACGATGAGGGGGGAGGGGTGTAATCGGTAGCCCTTCAAATGTCTTATTTTCAGCTTGACTATTTGCAGAGAAGAGAAGGAGCAACGGAAGGCAACTTTTAATAGGGACCTTGCAGAAGATGAGGAAGGGGGCTCTTCTATAATGTAGTTCTTTGGAGGAATGAATCTGTAAGCAAATCTGGTGATGATACTGTATTTAACCATCTAACAAGTTGGGGTACAGTGTGCAAAAAGAAGAGCAACCTACTCGGGGAACCAAATTACATCAAAAACAGATTGTCGTCATCATCATCATCATCATCAATCATCATCCCAAATCATTCCACTGCAGGATGAAAAGGCATTTGGGCCACTCTCTCTCAGTCCTTGACCAAGAAGTTAAAAAAAAAAACATGGAATAAATAGCATGGTAGATTATAGTCCGTAACCTTCAACGAAGAGATCTTCATTCTGCAGTAGATTGATTCAGGATCATCATCATCAATCATTTAACCTGAATACACACACACACACAAACGATGATTTATGCTTCGCCGGTTTTTCTTTTGTTTTTAAAGAAAAACCAGTGAAGCACAAGTCATCATCCCCAGAAGTAAATTAGCAGGACCAGCTTAGGATGTTCCCTTAGATTGTGTGTGTGTGTGTTTGTGTGTGTGTTTAGGGAGAGAAGTTGAATACTGGCTGGACTTCTCATGGGACAAGTATTTAAGTTGCCATAGACGGGGGCCAGGTGCCCACATTTATCCCCACCAAGATTCTCAGCAGAATTATTTATATCCCTGCTTCTTACCTTGTCACCTATCTTCAAGTTGGATTATTTTTTAACCCTCCCTCTTTAACATCATTTGGAAGTATTTTGGATTTGTGGGCAGTGACTACAAACCCCATTATCACAACCCTCTAATCAAAGGCAGGCCCTATTTCTGGGAATATGGGAAAACTTCAAATTCTTAAATGCCACAGGCATGACCAGTTTTCAACGGTGAACAAATCTTCCTTGTTTAAATTTAATTTTAGTTATTTTACCTTCACTAGATCATCATGTCTTCCAGACATCACTTCTGGACATCTAAAGCCACAGCAGATGAACCTAGAAGTGAGGTATTGTGATATCTGCATGCTGGCACTTTACCCCTTTCTTTTCTCATTTTCAAAAACAACAATATGGAGAGCATTGGAGTTAAATGGTGAGGTAGCTCTTAACGTAGGTCATTGGCCGTCAAAAGTATTGATCTAAAAAAGAAACTAAAAATACAGCTAAGCAGTATTAGTCTATTAGTTTATCAGCCATTTCCTATAGATAATCTGTATTACAGTCACTGATCAGCAACCATTTACTATAAGTATATTGAATACTGATGTTGTGTGAAAATTCCTTAATTGATCTTTCGTTCAGATTGCCCTACTTGAGAAGCTGTCCCCCTCCCCGCCAAGCTATGCTACAGTCAACTTGAGTATGATTCCATGCCTTCCATACATATAATCTTTATTGTGATCAATGATCTATTCACAATAAGATATAAAAGTTTATATTTACATATATAAAAGCATATAACCATGCCTTCCTACAAAACTTTCCATTTAATGAAACATGGCATACAACTTTGTGCTGCATCCATGTTTTCAAAATCAAGAACATCAACCAAGATATTATTCTAGTCATCAGATTACTCAGCAGTCTTAAACTTATGTTCACCTTTATGTGACTGTAGATCTAGCTACCTAAAATACACTCTGTTCACTTATTCCTTCCACATGTGAGGGTTGGGTGATGTGCTTACAAAGTGGCTTAGATCCGTACTGAAAGAGTCATCAACGCCCTTCATGAAACTGAAGCAATTGAGAGAATGTGGTATGTTAGCACCTAGAGACTGGCCAGGGGTCAGTCTTCAAGTATTTGAAGGGACGTCAGACAGATATTATCCCAGTTAACAGGACATGGGAATGCAGACAATGGTTAAATATTAGGAAAAGCAGTTCAGCAACCATGGAACCAATTATCACGATAGATTATGGGCTTTCAATCATTTAGATGTAAAGGCTGAACAACTATTTGATGAAAATGCACTGCAGAGAAATGGATTCATTGATATCATGGTTCCTTGTAAAGAGGGGAAATGGGGGGAAATGATGAACCATCAACATACAGCCAAATTGGTAACAGTGCCACTGAATACAATTACCAGGAGTTAAGCTCAACTCAAGGCATCTTGACCTTTTAAAATTATTCTCCCTTCTCTAAAAAAGCTAATGCATTATCTCTTAGATAGCTAGAACAGCAATTATTTTATCTGGATTAGGTTTTATTTGTTTCACTTTCATTAACTCAACTGTTATCAGACACTACTTCACTAACCCTTCACCCTCTCTTGAGTAGGAATTGGAAATTAACATTAGAACTGTGTGTCATCAGCACATAGAGGATGCAAAATGTTCTGAGCTCACCCAGAAACATTACGTAACTATTAAAAGGCGTGTGTGACAAGATGGAACTCTGTGGCACTCTGAAATTCAAAGACCACCAATGTGAGAGCTGCCAAGTACCCTTAACATTGTTGAATCGTAATGGCTTATTTCCCACATTTCCAGTTGGTCTACAAAACAGCGCTGTTAATACTTACTGAAAAACACTTCGAGATCAAAGTGAATCAATACACCCCTCAAAAGTATCATTATTCTGAACAGACAACTGACCAGAATGGATCTCCATGTTTTCATGCCCATCCTCGGAGGTTTCATTGTGGCATGATTCCCCAACAATTTTCAGTCAGAATTAAATGAATAAGCCAGCAGGTTTAACATGCTTGTGTTAAAAAGTAATATCAAAGATGAAAAAAGAGCCAAAAATATTGGTATCATCTCACTGCTGTTGGGCATAGGGAGAAATCAAAAGTAATTTTGATGCCCACTCTTCTTCTAAACTATCAGTTTTACTAAGAACACATGGAGAATTTTATATTAGAGACCTCTTATAGAATTAAATTGCTCAAGTCTCTCAAATGAAATAATGGTTGAGTTTAATTTTCAAGCCACATCTTCCATGCAGAGTTTACTTTAATGGTCAACTGTTTTCAGTTTAGATAGAAGAGGGAGCTTTTAAAAATATTGTTGTTCTGTCAAACAGTAAACACCTCTGAAATAGTTACAAAAGTTAATGCAAATTGAAAATGCATGAAATACCTACCAATTACTTTTCTTTGAGCAAGATTAGAGTTTTTGCCCATTTCTAAGCCTTGCATTATTCTGCCCACTATGATTTCTTACTGGGGCTTCCCTGCCCCAGGCCCACCATCTGGAGCATTATGTTCTTCCACGCTGTTCTACCAACCCAAGGTATCAGCTACGTCCCCATGGGCCAAACTTACTGCTTGGAAAGAGTAGCTGGGGCCTATTATTTCCCTCAATGCCTTTGCTCCATCAAGAACGCAAAGAAAAGCAGATACCAAGGAGAGAAGCATTCTTCCGTTTTTTAACTTGCTACACGCCTTTGCTTATCCCAAAGGCAAGTCCAAGAAGGGCACTGCTACCAAGCAGCTCATCCAGAGGTGAGTACGATTCCTGAAGGCCTGGCTCAGAGTGCTGAGTGAACCACCGGACTTGGTTCTAGTTCTAATTATAATTTTTGAAGACAAGCACTACTGACTGCCCATTGCTCCAGGTTTTGTAGCTGAACAATTCTGTTCTTTTCAAAAGAAAACTCTGCAGTGAATAATAACTGATATATTTCACTCATTCATTTTATTTGTTTAGAAACAATCCCATAGTCTGAAGCCCATAAAGCTAGTCTTTCAATTTATACCAACCCCCCCCCCCTTTTTGAGGTCAAAGTGATGTTCATAGCAATTTCCCCCCAAACAAGCCTGTAAAGTAGGTTGGTCTGAGTGAATGCTGGTTCCAAGTCACTGTGTGAGCTTTTGGGGCTAATGATGGACTTGGGTCTTCCTGGATAGCTGAATCAATAGTAAAGAATTGAATTTCTGGAAGAGGCTCAAATTATGAATCTGATAGATAGATAGATAGATAGATAGATAGATAGATAGATAGATAGATAGACAGACAGACAGACAGACAGACAGACAGACAGATCATAGATAGTTAGACAGATGGACAGAGCAAGCATTGGTTTGTTTATATTCATATCCAGAAGTTAGAGACGTACAAAAAAAAGGATTTTGTATATGCCCAATCTGACAGCAAAGAATTTCTGTGCAAGAATTCAGCATACTTGCTTAAAAAAAGAGACTCTCAGTTTAGGGCCATGAGCAATGTCAAGCAACTAGCTGATCATTACTTGATAGAGATTTTTCAGTATATCACAGTTGGAGCGTGTTCCCCCAAGCAAAGCCAGGGAAGCAGCTGAAATGGAGAAGGGTGAGCCCCTTCTCAGACCCACTCCCACAGAGAGCTCAATGTCTGAGCACTCGGATGCCTCCATGTCTCTCCTCTCTCTCATTAAAACTAACCCAATACACCAGAGCCTCACACAATGACACTTAAGAAAATCTTCATGACTTATCATTCTTTCAGCAGAACCTGAAAAAGATGTATAAGAAGTATAAAGATACATGTATAAAGATGTATTTCTAACCAAGTGAGACACCGTCATTTCTCCACCAGAAAAGACTGATCTCCACAGTCTTTTGGGGAGGGGAGGGAATCCAGCCCAATTTTCTATTTTGATTTCTCCTCTCCAGCAATTTAGGCCTGAGATTTAAATGTTTTTACTATCACTTCATTTGGGCAGGAGCTGGTGAATGAAAAGCAAGGTTGCCACTCCCTGAGCTGACCTATCTACATCTGTCTCTGATGTTCAGCAAGGTTTCTCATGCAACTTCCAGAAACATGTTTGCTGAATTTCATGGACTTTGAGCCACATCCTGTGATGTAGAACAAATGGCAATGGGCTTCATTATTCCCAAGTGCATCAGTTATCTCAAGACACGAGGCTAAAATGGCTCATAATTTATTTTTATGTTAAAATGTACAGCTTGTTTTTGTTTTAAGTGACTGGCTAAAAAGTTAACATAAATACAAGAAGTTTCACTGTGTCTATTTTTATACATGGATCGAGCCACTTTTGGCTCTTACTGTCACTCTGTACAAGTACAAAGGCTACCAAAAAGAAAAAAAAAGGAAGCCATATAAACAGACACAAATACCATTTGCTTTTTTTACATGCGTTCTTTAAACTTCATTTGATCTATTCACACGCTACTGTTCTATTTACTTTTCTTAAAAAATAACTCCAATATTTTATAAAGATAGAAAAATCTACAGATGGGATGAAAATGTAAAGTTTAGAGGCATTTCCATAAAATAGCAACTTTACACCAAATTCACAATTTTTTAAAAAAAATCCTGCAAATTTATCTGCATATGAAAATGTTTCAAAAACTTGATTAAACACAGATATGCTTCATTCAAACAATAAATGTTTGTATCTAAAAAAACTGTGTAACAGTAAGCTGCCTTTTTTTCCTTCTTAACTGAAAATAATCTGCTATCTGAACAAAAAGGGGAATCATCTTTAATCACACATTTGTCATTCAAAGATGCAATCCATTGTGATAGTCTTGTGTGTCAGCTCCAAGAAAAATTAATCACATTTGTGCAAGCACACTGTAACACACAGAGGAATTTCCCAATGAATTGCGTCCAAAAGTCTGAACAAATCACAACTGGAATTGCTTTCAATGCTTTTTCTTCTTTTTAAATCTAATTAGCAAAAATATATATATATATGTATGCATGTATGTATATATATTTTTTAATACCTCTTAAAGAGGGACGACCTAATCAAGGCAAAAGACCCACCAATTAAGGAAATGGCTTACTGTTAAGCACAACACTTGTACAGTACTACGAAACGCACTGTCACTAACAAAGACAGCGGCATGCGGAAGTGTCCACTCGAGGAACAAAATAATCCATGAATGCAACGCGAAAAGGCATTTACATGGTGGAGGGAAAAGGGAGGGAAGGGCGCGTTGAACAGGAGGGACGCTGACAGCCAGCACAACACCAGATGCACTCCAGAAGAACGAGGGTCGAACGGGAGCAGGCACATCCAAAATGGCAGTGAACCCTCGGCTGACCTTGGATGTTCGCAACACATTTTCCCACACCACAGAAGTCCAACTGTATAAAAAAACTGCCATTGCAAACGAAGCAAAACTGCAAATGAAAGACAAGTAAAGGAAATTATATAAGGCTTTCTGCTGCATACAGTTCATCATGGTGCCACCACAAGTATTTTTGCATTTACACCAACTGCTGGTTTTGAAATCACACGCTCCGAAAACAGTGCGTACTTGGGCAGGTCGAGCCCCCGCAGGCTCAACTGACACGGCAGCCGCCTCCCCTGCACTGGCAGCCTCGGCTCCTATCTCCGCATGTAAGAGCTGTTCAAAGACTGTTTAGTATTTATATAGCCGTGATGCGCTGGAGGAGAATACATCATGTTGCTGTGCGGGGCGGTCTGCATGGACTGCTGGGCATAGGCCTGGGTCCCCATCATTCCCATCTGCATCTGCATGGGGTACTGAGCGGTTTGATTCATGTAACCGTGATTGGCGTGGTAGCCTCCGTTCATCATCGGCTGAGACATGCTATAACCATTCATGGCGTTCAGAGTATTCATATTCATGTTCACCGAATTGACATTGTAAGCGGGAGTTGGCATGAGATTCACACTCATGTTCATGCCACGCTGCATGGTTAAGGTGCGTGCTGGCCCTTGCATGGTCACAGCCTGCGAGGCACGCCCATAAAGCTGTGGCTGATGGGGTGCTGCAGCTGGTGGCAGAGATGATGACTTAGTTCTAACAGAAACATGGCCTTTGCCAGGCATCTGAGTTTGTAGTCTTTGGGCGTGGGACAGGCCAACAGTAGATGTAGCCAAGTTACGCTGCAGAAGGGGAGGTGGCAAATTCATGGGAGGAGGAGTGAGGTTAGGGGGCGGAGTCATGGTTGCCTGGACTTGGCCTCCTCCAGGAACTGGGTGGGAAGGCTGAGAGAGCTGAACCAGTCCCGTACTGCTGAGAGCAGTCGTCAGAGAGGCACTATTTGCATAGGAAGTGACAGCAGCTGAATGGCTGTAAGGCAACGAATGGTCCATCAAGGTATTGGTTAACTGCTGTAGTTTAGCCAGGCTAAAGGTGGCAGAGGGCTGCGGATAATGCCCTGCTGCAAACTCCCCTTGGCCCATTCTTTCGTACAAGCCAACATTTGCACTGCCAGTCTCGTTGATTTCACTTAACTGAAGAGGCGGACTGAAGTTGGCCGCCATACTGCACTGCGAGAGCTGCTGGTTGCTGCTTGGAGGCCTTTCAATCACACAGGCTTGGGGAGATTTCACGTTGCAAGGAGGGGGAGAGTTGATGCCGGTGTTCTGCATCATGCTGCAGCTTCCATTCATGTTCGACATCTGCTGTGTCACTGCGCAACTACTCTGTGTCATGTTACTGGAAGTGAGAGTGCTGTATGAACAGCTGTTTTGTGAGGCATTGTTCCCACAGATGTTATTGCCCATGGTGGAGTCATAGCTGCTTGGGTTTTCATAGTTCTCTGTTGTGCTCTCAATACTACCCAGATCGCTAAATCCACTGTCAACAACCTGCTGAGAATGGTCAGAAACAGACGGAACATCCATCATGGGACTGGTTTCCATGTTCTGCAGGGATGACACCGAGATGGTACTCTGATCTGAGCTCATCTGAGCATAACTGTTTTCTAGTGCAGGCACATTTGGACTGTTAACAGAACGAACTGACTGGCTTGGATGAGACTGGACAGATGAAACAGGACTACTGTGATCTGATTGCTGACAGTCATCTAACGAGGCTGCCTGTGGGCTTTGGCCAGTATTGGAGTAATTCTGCAGGCTCTGACATGCCTCTTGAGTCTCTGCACAATCCTGAAACACGTCTTCCTGCTCTGCTGATTCCTGGGTTAAAGACTTGACCGCCTGGATCGTCTCAGAGTCTATTTCCAGAGTTTCTGAATTTGTGTCCTTGAATACACAGTTCAGTTCATTACTACTGGCTTCATTTGAATTTTCTGTGTTTTCATCTCTTGAATCAGACACAGGTTCCAGAATAGCAGGAAGCTCTTTAAGGTCGCTGTTACACTTGGGCGAAAGATCAACTTTACAGTCCATTAAACCCATCTCATTTGGCCTGCCATTCTGTTCCTCAGTATCTAAAAAAGGTTCTTGATTCTCAAGTACTTCTTTAAAAGCTTCTCCTGATACTACCGCCTCAGTTTCCCTTTCTTCTGAATCTACGTGGCTTTCATCCTCATCATCAGCATCACGTTTCTCATTACAAGACTGTTTCTTCTCCTCATGTTCTTCTAAAAGCTCAGGCTCCTCTTTCTCCAGTATTCTCTCCTCTTGTCGGTCCTTATCTTGACTATTCATACTTTCCATGTTGCTTTCATCTACTTCATCTACATTTTCTGTCCGGGAAAGCTCTAGATACTCCGACACCAAATCTCTTCCTTCATCCTCATTTGAGAAAATGGTTTCAGAGTTTTTCACTTTTTCTGAAAGAGAAGCAGCTTGGCATGGGTCACTTTCAGCCACCTCTTCGGTCTCCTCGCACTTTCCCTGAGAGTCAGGCTCCATAGGAGTCTCAGGTGGTGTGTACAAATTAAGTTTAAACCCTGGTTTTCTCTCCTTATTTTGCCTCCGTCTGGATGAACTTTGCTTCACACTTTTAGGCCATCCTTGCTTACGCATTACTGGTTCAAGATTGTCTTTACTGCTTTCTTTCAGGACATCTACATCCTCTTCAGCGATAACTGTGAGGAATGAGAAAAAGCCAAGTTAGTCAATTCAAAGTTATTATAACTAGATTATTATATATATTCCTGTTCTAATGTATTCTCACACCAGTATTTCCACAGAAAAAGTTTAGTTAAATAATTAGTTAAACTAAACATACAAAGCACAGATGCCCACAGGGTTTGGTAAAACAAATTAAGATGAAGGCCACTATGGTGCAATCTTATCCATTAGAGTACCTAAACTACTAAAGGAGTGACATTTTTCAAATAGAGATCTAATTTCCAGATCCCCTTCATGGATCACTGCCTTGTTGTGGCGAAGGGGCTTGCGTAACGTATAGCCATGAGCTATACCGTGCAGGGCCACCCAAGACGGACAGGTCATGACAGAGAGTTCTGA